CATTTCCGAAACTTTTCGAAAATAAAGATACTAAAGTGTTGCATATGTGTTTAACTCATTTAGTGGTATGTGAACGATAAGCCTGGATTCGTATTATTCTTGAAGTTCTAAAACCAGTACCGTCCTCCGCTTGATGTACTAACTCAGAGTAAAGTTAATGTTGTTTGAGGCTTTTATATTTATATTTTGCATTCGAGGTTATGCATTACCTGTAAACTGTAGCATACAAGTACATTACCTGTACACATCAACAACCCCTGCGAACATCCCCTGCGTACATCACCTGTGCACATTAACAACACTTGTGCACACTAATATCATGTGTACACACTAACATCACCTGTACACAAAAATATCACCTGTACACAATATCACCTGTACATATCAACTGTACATAATTCTACCACCTGCACATAATATCACCAGTACACAATAATATCACCTGTACATAATAATATCAGCTGTGAGGCCAGGTGGCGCAGCAACAACACAGTCACCACACAAGCCACATTCCTACACGGAGGAGCTGAGAAGGGAGAGGGGGGGAGGGCGAGGATGTTTAGGGAGGGAAGGGCAGGGGGAGGAATAAAGATGAAGGAAAAGAGGAGGGAAGCGGAAGGAAATGCTGGAGGAAGAGGAGGGAGGAGAGAAAAGGATGGATAGGGAGATGAAGAAGAGTGGAAAAGTGGAAAACAATGCAACCCCATTTCTCTCACCGCTCCAGCCATATTTCAATCTCTGTCTCTTTCGCTGTTTCTATCTAAACTAAACTCAAATTTAATTTCAGACAGGAAAACAACTTAAAAAAAAATTATTCTTCGCATTTTACCAGCGTCAAAAATTACAAATACTGACACATAGAAGACCATCCAAGATGGCTTTCTCAGTGTTCTCCGCCTCCCTAAAGGTCAAATACGAGGCGGGGTGCTGTGCAAGACTTTTTGTAAGTAGACTTAAACCTTGAACGGCTGATAAGTTAGCCAGCACACGCCATTTGAGACTAATACAATGTCGTCCTTCGTGAAGCGTGCTGCGTATGGCGTTGAACCTACTATGTTGAATCTGCTGTAGCAAGTTCAACGTAGGTCGTTCTCAGTTCGACCTATGTTGTAGTCGGTTCGATGTATACCGTGCTAGTTTAGACGTTCGGAGTCTTCGATCCATATGCCGTGTTGGGTTCGAGCGCGGTAGCCACTACTGATAACGCCTTATGCAATCCTCACCAAGAATGAATTCGCAGTAATAAGCCTGGATTTATCCAAGATATTAGTCTCAGATTAATCCCTTACACCACTATGTATTAATAAAAATTACCCTATGACTAATCCCTAACAGCAGAATAGATTAATAAAATGTGCCCCATGACTAATCCCTAACAGTAACATGGATTAATAAAAAGTACCCCAAGGATGCTCTGAAGAACAGTACTTCCTGGATTGCTACATAATGGACGAACTAAACATACGGCCAACCACGACCTTGACCACGGATAGCGACCGCGCTGCAGACGTCAACATCTGCGAAGCGTCGTGATTGGCTGAGCTTCCCGCCAGAAGAAAAGGCACCAAAAAAATGGAGAGTTGTAATTGGCTGAGCTTCCCCCCAGACAAAATGTCACAGGAAATGAAGGATGAGTTGTTTTGCCTGGTGAAATGTCACTTTTTAATGGCGATGTATCGCCATGAGGGAAGTACAGTCAATCGCGACTTTTCATTGAGTCGATAAGAGTAGCCAATCGGTAAGAGTAGCCAATCGCAAAGGCTTATTAAAGGCTATTTTTTTTTCGCCAGACGGGAAGCTCAACCAATAGCAATGTTTCATTAAAAAGGCGACGTTTCATAAACGGGAAGTTCGGCCATCATGGAGCTTTATTTCAACAATCTCTGCTAGAGTATCGATAGATTTGTTTAAAAGTGTTGATGGTTGAAGCTTTACATTAAAACGTAGCGACTGCACTAAGTTCCGATTTACCTTAGCGTAATTACTGATAAAAGCTTTCAATTGGCAGCTAATTCTTACTTTTGCCCCGTCTTGATTATCCCTATTAGCACCGCAGTTGCTACCATCATCCGTGACTTCGGGGCCTCTCTCACGACCCCAAAATCTGGGATGTATTGATCATTAGGTTCGCACGATCTTACTCTTGCTAAAAGAGTAGAAATGAAATCGTGATCTGATTATATATCACAACTGGAGCCTGACCATCTATTACTCAATTCTTGAATGCAATAACCATTCAATTTTTTTAAAATTTGTTTAAAGTATTATGACACAAAGGTCTGGTATAATTATTACAAAAAGTGTTGAGCGCTTGTGTGTGCCAGCACCTATATATGGTTATATGTTTAGTTTATCTTCTTTTTAGAAAAAAAAGGAAAAGTTATGATCAGCTGTACACTAACTGCCCCCTTCAAGGCTGGCGACATTGCAGACCTGGAGTGTACAAGGAACTTTCACGGCATACATAAGTACGATAAGGCACCTAAATTACTAGGAACAGTTGAAGGTCCTTGATCTGTATTCCCTGGAACGCAGGCGAGAGAGATACATGATAATATACACTTGAAAGGTCCTGAAGGGATTGGTACCAAACCTGCACACGAAAATCACTCCCTATGAAAGCAAAAGACTCGGCAGGAGATGCAACATTCCCCCGATGAAAAGCAGGGGCGCCACGAGTACAATGAGAGACAACACAATAAGTGTCCGGGGCCCAAGACTGTTCAACTGCCTCTCAGCATACATAAGGGGGATTACCAATAGACCCCTGGCTGTCTTTAAGAAGGGACTGGACAGGCACCTAAAGTCAGTACCTGACCAACCGGGCTGTGGTTCGTACGTCAGCTTGCGTGCGGCCAGCAGTAACAGCCTGGTTGATGAGACCCTGATCCACCATGAGGCCTGGTCTCAGACCGAGCCGCGGGGTCGTTGACCCCAGGTAAACTCCAGGTAAGCTTGTTGAGCTGCATTACGTTCGTGATGTATTATTATTATTACACTATTATTAGATTAATGGGGAAGTTCTAAACTCATAAATGGGGTTAAATCCGAGTGGGGATCTGTAACAAGTGGCGTTCCACAGGGATCAGTCTTGGGCCCGTTGTTGTTTATAATATATATCAATGATCTTGATGAGGGAATTACTAGTGATATGAGCAAATTCGCCGATGACACAAAAATAGGTAGGATAATTGATTCAAACGTAGATGTTATGGAACTTCAGGAGGATTTAAACAAACTATTCTTTGTAGATGAATGGTTCAGAGAACCGACATGTTGATAAATTAGACACATGTGTCTAATTTACAAACTCTATTCTTGGTCAGAAGAGTGGCAGATGCAATTCATTGTAGATAAATGCAAGGTTCTGAAGCTCGGGAGTGCCCATAACCCTAGTACTTATAAGTTAAATGATGTAAAACTTAGCCATACAGATTGCGAAAAGGACTTGGGGGTTATGGTGAGCAGCAACCTTAAACCAAGACAGCAATGCCTAAGCGTACGTAATAAGGCAAATAGATCACTGGGATTTATATCAAGAAGTGTAAGCAACAGAAGTCCAGAGGTCATACTGCAGCTTTATACATCATTAGTAAGGCCTCACCTAGATTATGCAGCTCAGTTCTGGTCTCCATATTACAGAATGGACATAAATTCGTTAGAAAACATTCAGCGTAGGATGACTAAATTAATACATAGCATTAGAAATCTTCCTTATGGAGAAAGATTGAAGACTCTTAAGTTACATTCACTTGTTAGACGAAGAATGAGGGGAGACCTGATCGAAGTGTATAAGTGGAAGATAGGTATTAATAAGGGGGATATTAATAAGGTCTTGTGGATATCTCTCCAGGAGAGAACCAGCAGTAATGGATTTAAATTAGATAAGTTTAGATTTAGAAATGACATAGGAAAGTATTGGTTTGGAAATAGGGTAGTTGATGAGTGGAACAGTCTACCTAGTTGGGTTATTGAGGCTAGGACTTTGGGTAGTTTCAAATTTAGGTTGGATAAGTACATGAGTGGGAGGGGTTGGATTTGAGTGTGACTTTCACATTAGAGCTTATTTCTTGGGTAGCATTGCAAATTGGGTTGGGCAAATGTTTTGTTAGTGGGATGAATTGTAAAGGACCTGCCTAATATGGGCCAACAGGCCTGCTGCAGTGTTCCTCCTTTCTTATGTTCTTATGTTCATACAGCTCCTGGGATATGGGAGGAAATCAGGTTCGATCAATAAGAATATCAAAGAATCCGGACTACAGGTATTTATAGTGTTCTTCTGGACCACAATATTTCCCCTCTGCTAATTAGATGGACAGAGAGTTAAGTGCTTACATAGTTATTTTACTGCTCGTGTAAGGCAAACTAATGACGTTCATTTCTTATTGATAAGATAATTCTCGAGATGGTATAAACCTTGGTAATAAATACCGACAAGTTGGTTTAGAAAGACACGTAAGCAAACACTATGACATATTTATTAGAAAACGTTTCGGTCCTGGGACCTTGATCACTTCTAACATACAGAGGTAGAAAGGCATTACATGTATATATATAGGCGGAGAGTGAGGTGTGACGCACGTGACGCATGTTCTTATGACATTCCTCAGGTCACGTGCGTCACACCTCACTCTCCGCCTATATATATACATGTAATGCCTTTCTACCTCTGTATGTTAGAAGTGATCAAGGTCCCAGGACCGAAACGTTTTCTAATAAATATGTCATAGTGTTTGTTTACGTGTCTTTCTAAACCAAGATAATTCTCACACATACAGCAGAACTGAAAAGCACTGATTTAACACATGTGATTGATTTCTTACCTTGTACCTCTTTATATAAACGAAGATGTTCTGTTCTTCACCCAAATGAAGAATTTAATTTTCACATACATATCAAACTTATAAACTATAATACAGTATAATGATTCAAGGTTTTCCCGCGCAAAATATAGGCAACAATACGAGACTAAATAGTTACACACAACAACTGATTAATTCATTGCACTTTACAATCGAACAAAATTAAACAATTGGGACATTCAGCAACCGTGACTTACCTTTCATGCTCTGAGCCCTTTTAACGGAGGAGCCATGCTTCCTCTCTAGCCTGGCGCTGCTAGTGGTGGTAGTGGTGCTGACTGTTGTGGTGGTGGTAGCGGAGGCGGCACCAACACTGGTTACCACTGTCACTCCCTGATACACCACGCAAGTCTTCGGAGGGTCCACTTTGTTAAAATCGATGAATTCAAACTCACTCTCTGCATCGGACCACGTAAAGGAGAGGGAATCGTCTACAATGACCTGGTCCCCGACTTCGACCGTCGTACCTCCAGTGCTTTGGACACTCACCACCATTTCACGAGGACCCCGCAGGGTGATGTCGCTTGTCTCTCGAATTATTAACGGAGCCACTTTATCCAACTTTATTCCTTCTCCACACTGGGAGTCTACGTCAGTCTCTGGAGGGTTCAAGTATTTGTCGCCTAGGAGGTCTTGGAAAGTCTTTGGCGACTCATGATCACTTGATGTGTTGGGGTCTCGTAAAGACAATCCACATGTATCAGAGAATTTCCTGCTGGACACTGACATCGAGGGACTTGCATGCGATGCAGAAAATGATCTTTCCCGTGGCTTCTTTCTGTTCTTCAGCGGGGATCTACTTCCGCCACTCTTTCCTGCCTTCGGGGTGAACATGTCATAATCCAGATTATCTAAATCAGAATCTGTTTCGGAGAATGATTCAAACTCCTCATTCTGTCGAATATCATCGTCAGAGAAGGATTCAGAGAGGACCTGTACATTGCCTTTAGTCTTGAGGCGAGTCTGTACGTCGTTATCACTCATGCTTTTTTTCACTTTCATTTCGACCTTCCTTCCTACATTGGCTGTGCTTCCTGCTTCCTCGGAAGGGGGAGAAAATCGTGCTAACTTTAGGCCAATCTTATCACACAGTTTGGGAATAAAAGGTGCAGCTGCCGGGTAGGAGTATCTAGTCGGCCGTTTGGATGTCAGTGTCTCTGAAGGCGTCGTTTTCTTCACATCACCACTCACCTCTTCTCCATCTGCTCTTTCTTCATTTGAAATGGCATCATGTTTAGCATTAGTTGGTGCACCTTTGAGCCCATCTTGAGAACGAAGCTGCGGGGGCTTTGTTCGCAGAGGGCTTACCTTTTGAGTAATTTCCATACCGTCATCTTCTATGGTAATAACGGTGACACTACTCCGAGGCACTAAGCCTCCGGACACAGGGTTCCGGAGTGCGTTCTCATCTGCTGAATTGTCACTGTCATCGATGAAAGGGATGGAATCAATGGAGCCAAGAGGTCGCTGGCATTCTTTTTGTCTCTTAAGCCTGGCTTGTGTGGCTGTTGTCTGTGTCAAAGCCAGGGGGTTTTGGCTTATGAAGCTCATGGCCTCATACAGGTCTTCATCTTGATTGCGGCCATCTGTTGCCTTCATTGGGACATCACATAACTCCTGTTCCTTCACCCGCCGGATGATCTGATAGTTTTCGTAGTTTATGTCGTTGTCATTGATCAATTTGCCGTCCTTTGTCATCTTTATCACTTGGTAATTCTCATAGATGTGCTCATCTTCCTCATCTTCGTTGTCGGAATCCTTCTTGAACACCTGACATACGTAAATAGCTTCCACACACTGGTCGTTCTCCACATACTCCTCAGAAGAGTTCGTTGGCAGCGCCTCGTAAATGAATGTGATATCACTACCACCTTTCTCTTCCTTTTCTAAGCTGAAGTATCCACCTTCAGGTTCTTCATCTTCGTTCTTCATTCCATCTTTTGTATGCTTAACGAGTTCTAACCTGCTCCTATCACCGGAGTTTTCAGATTTTCCACTCCTTTCAGACTTTCTTCTTGCCCGAGATCGGCCATAAGCATCCTCGTCATCTATTTCACAGTCGTTATCTTTTTCTTTTCTTTCATCTTGCTTCTTTGACTTATCTTTAGTACCATTTCCCTCACCCTCATTCTTCTGTTCACTCTCTTCCTTCTCAGCGTCGCTATAATTGTGTTTTTTCGTATCACTGAAGCTGCCAGTGTTAATCTTGCTACCCGAAGGCAGTAACACTTTTGACTTCGATCTGTAAGGGCGTGAAGCCGAACGTGATCTTCGTGTCTTTTCCGGAGGATTATCGAGGTTGATATCACCGACCTTCGAGAGATAGAGATTATCAGTGGCACTCACGCTACGCGTCCTTGAAGCTGACCTCACGCGATTCTTTTTGTCGTTACAGCCGAAACCAAGTTTTTCTAAATTATCACTGAGGAAAGTTGAAGGTCGTTCAGCGTGGCTACCAAGGCTGTGACGATGCCTCTTGCTTTCTCCCTGGGCCTCACCCTTGCCTACTAGCAGTGCCTTGGCACTTACACCACTTAACACTGACCTGTCGCTCTTCGTACTCAGCAAGGATCTCTCGCCCTCGCTACCCGTCGTGTAGATTTGCTCTTTCTTATGGGGCTTATCCTTCTTGTCTCGCTTGCTGGTGGACTTTTTCTTTCCCCCGATGTCTATATCCTGAAAGGAGACACCCGAGACTGCCTTGTAAACAGTGGTCTTCCTTTGCGCCAGCATGAAGTGGGAGGGCGAGAACACCTTGTTGATGACAGGCACCAATCTCTGTCTCACCCCACTGCTGCTGCTGCTGCCACTGCCACCCTCGCCTTCGCCCTTCTTCAATTTCGAGGAAGAGGAACCACTCGAGGGCGAAAGGAAGACCTTGAACTCGTTGCTGGCGTCCATATTGAAAATAAAGTAGGACGCTGCCTAAGAATAACCAAAAGTCATGTGCTGACTTTAGCGGCCTAGGCGACTGTGAGAAAACTACACTTGTCTTCTAAAGTGCTATGCACCGACATGTTCCTGTGGTCTCCCTGAACACAGTCCACAACTCATCCCTTCCAATCTGCCAATGACATCAAGAAAATGCTTCTCTTTCACAGGGAACTAAACATCAAGAACCTCAACTTGGCTATGACAACACTTGATAGTTACGACCAGGATGCAGCAAGTGCGACTGGGGGGCAGCACTTAATGACTGCCAGATTTACATGGAGGTACCTGACGCAGCACAGGGTTCTTGAAGAATAGGTTGCTGGGGCCAACAAGGCAGTGAAGCGATTCATGCTTCTACCAGTCATGTTGCCGTGTGCTGCATGCTCCTCCTGTTGGAAAAGGGAATACACAAAAATCAGTGATCAGGTCTGTTCTCACATAAACTTATGCAAGATATGAAAACTAATGGGTAATTTTTCAAAAGAAGTCAGAAAACAAGCGATTCAATCTTGCATCTATTGAAGGGAGTACCTTAATACTGATTAAAGGCTCTTGTTTCAAGAAACATACCACCCCTCCCTTTGTAGCATTAAATTTGATGATTTTCTATTCTTATACTCTAAATGACCCCTACAAATTTAGCGCTTCTCCATGATTATATAATAATAAATCATATTAAACTTACATCTTAATACACGTTGATGATTATAGAGTACAGGGTAATGAAAAAAATGGTTCCATATGGCTAAGTTTTTTAAAGAGAAAGCCTAGTAAACATTGATATGATCCATTATTATAAATCAGTGTGCTGCTACATTATTCAATATGATAGTAGCAGAGTGAGAACAAAAGGTAATTGTGTTTCCTTGTCATATTTTTAAAATTAAACACAGGTCCCAGTGTAACTCGCCTATAACTGTAGCATTGTACACAGGTTCCACTATACCTCGCCTACAAACTGTAGTACACTTCGTATGAAATCTATATTTGTTACCTCTGATAAATAGAGACTTTCAATTACTCTTTTTGTACACTTTCACCACTTAGCCTCTTTTTTTGATATACTCTATTTCTTAATACATATAACTCTTTACATTGTAAAAGCTTTAAATTTATATTATAATTAATTATATTATTTATTATATATTATTTTTATAATATCTTAATGTAAAATATTATATATATATATATATTATAATAATATATATGTATTGCGGTTTTAATTAGCTACTTCGAAAGAAAATATTTTAAAGTAACAACCTTTTTCTGAAGTCATGCGAAAGACGCGGCCAAGTTTAAAAATGATTAATTTTCACTGATTTACTCTTTCAATAAACCTTTGGATTTTGTGCCATAAAAGACACTCAATTACCAGAAACCTCTTAAAAGCCATTTAAGAGACTATATAAACGTCACCTCCGTGTTTAAATACTCTCGATAACAAACAAATTATCCTAAAATATCACTTCTTATTTTACGATCGTTTAAGACTTGGAAAAGCGAGGCTAGTACTAATCCATAATGTTAATGTTGTAGCTTATAGACATATTCCGTCTCCGTAGTTCCTAGTTTTCCTTGTCAAAACGTTTTCTCTCAGTGCAATGAACTTTTTTGCACTTAATTGTGTAAAATTATTAACGACTGAATTTGGCCAACTTAGTTAACCTAAGCTAAAATAGAGCAGCAATGTAGAGATATCGCCTATGGTGCCTACATCGGACTGCGTGCGGATACCATACCAACAGCCTGATTGATTAGGACACCAACCAGGAGGCCTGCTGTAAGATCGGGCCACGGAGGCAGTGATTTCCCAAAATCGTCTACAGATAAAGCCAATATAATACAAAATCTACTCTGTGGCTATGGAGGCCAAGCAAATAAAATTAAAGTAAATTGCCGTTAGACAACTTCACGGAAGTGGGATGGGAAGAGCAGCAAAACAGATGGCGACTAAATTACGGAGAGTAATATGAATGACCGACGTTCGATATTAAATAAAATTAATGAGTGAGAGAGAGAGAGAGAGAGAGAGAGAGAGAGAAGAGAGAGAGAGAGAGAGAGAGAGAGAGAGAGAGAGAGAGAGAGAGAGAGAGAGAGAGAGAGAGAGAGAGAGAGAGAGAGAGAGAAATAACGAACTTGTTCAATCTAGTGAGTCACAGGTGGTGATCCACCATTACCTGTAGTTCCACGTAAGTGGTTGAGCATACGCAAATATTGGTAAAATGAGGTAAAGTATGGTGCGGTGAGGTATGGTAAGATAAAATAGTTAAGATATGATCAAGTTAGGTTAACCAAACGTAACGTAAATTAACTAATAACTCAGCCTGGTCTCGGTTTAGAGTAGTACCTTAGACAGTACAAAAATTAACGCACTATACACCACTTGAAAACAAACTTTCATATATAGAAAGACGGGTTGAACCTAGGTTAGCGAAGAGAGCAGGTAACATCATGGTACCACTCCCTCATATCCAGCAGTCAGCGTGCATTAACAGTCAATACCAGCCTCTGCTAATGGCTTACCAAGCCGCTATGTACATACGCTCACTCTGCAAGCAATTTTCCTCATTTGAAATTAATTTTACTTAATCATCTAATATAATCTATCTTAATTTAAATTTTATATTAATTTGTCACTGGAATAAAATTATAGTACATGGCAAAAAAACCACAGTGAAAAACTTAACAGGAAAACCTAAGTACTTTCACGTCCTTACAGAGGCAAGAAAATCACATTTTGTTATAAAGCGAAGGTAACAACTCAGTGAGGTGCTATCTCATTCAGTCCACTGTTGGAGACCTACTGGTCCACAAATTCAACAATGATATTAAAAGTTTCCAGTAAAACAAATTGCAAAAATGTATGTCAAGCGTAATAAATTTAAGAGCTCGAAATCAGTTGTAACTACACTTGAAAACTGTTTATCTAAAATTAATATGAACCTTCAATCCGTTTTAATTTATTTTATTTCAGTAAATTGTGAAAGTAAGTCAAATGATAAACATGGGCATCAGTGTCGCTCTCTTAAATACCGTAATTTCGTAAGAACTCTGCCAGGGTTGCAATTCCGTTTTGTTTATACTCAACTGTAAACCCATAAAAACTTTCCAGGCGAAACTAATATACGCTCAACCCACTTATCATTAAATCCCATCTTAGACGAAAGATCTTCAGTGAAAGTTTGTCCTCGGTCTCCCTGTCTCCCATAATCCTTTTTTTGCTACAGTATCCTATCCCAAACCTTACTTGCTAGTCAGGGCTCCATCCTCACCAGACAAATCAATGGTCGACGGTTAGATATCTATCCATTAAGGTTTAAGCCATACTTTTGAACATTAAAGTTTGTTTATCTTAGAATAGGCTATATTATTATTATTGGTAAGCACTAAGCCTGCAGGGGTCATAAAGTAATTGGGAATATAAATTAACAGATTTGGTTCAAGGAAAAGGAGAGTAACCCAGTTCCTTTGATTAGAAGTCTTTCACCGGCATTAAGGCGAGAAATGGCATAGACATAGTTGTCGACTCATTAACGTTCAGCCATTAATTAAAAAAAATAGTTATCAGATGTCAACAAATGACTCCCCAGATTTCTTGAAAGTCTGCAGGTAAAAAAAAAAGTCATAAAATGGCAGTTATTTCACTGAACTGCTGAGTAATAGAAAAATGGTATAATATACGTGAACGATAGTGAGATTGGCAAGAGACAATTCTGTGACAATAATTTGATTAGCAAGAGACACAACCACTTTAATATAAGACTGTTATGACAGCAATATATTAAACACGCATTACTAAAGGATTTAAATGAACAACTCAATCAACCGACATTTTAGTATAAATACAACCACACCGATTGCAGTGATCATGTTTATCAGTAAAGCTTTGTTCAGACTTCACTCGTGAGATGTCAAGACAATGTAATTCTTGCAAGACAAGGCTACGGTCGGATCCATTAGCGACCTATCAACACGTACAAACTTAACCAATTTCACATTAACAAAACGCACACGGGATGGGAAGACTGTAAATTGTATTTATTAAAACGCAAAACTCAGATGAGTATTTCAGCGCACTGAGTGGAAGAGGCCTGAAAGTCAGTCCACAAATCGCTGCCCAGTCTCTGGCTAGTCAAGCAATACATTTGGAGATTAACTCAGAATGACAGACGCCGGGTCAGTAGACAACCACAAGCGGCGTGTCAATACATCTCAACGTATCCCAGAACTTGCTTGCCTTGCCTAAAGGAAATTACCTTAGCCTCAGCAGTACTGCTAGGCTGGCTGTAGTGCCTAACGGCACGGACTCTTTTGTACCTAGTGAAGTTAAGAGGTCATCAGGCATACCAAGCCGCAATTAAAAAATATATACATGCATGCGGTGTATATACAATATTATATATATATATATATATATATATATATATATATATATATATATATATATATATATATATATATATATATATATATATATATATATATGTCGTGCCGAATATGTAAAACTGGTCAATTAGCAAGAACTCATTTAAAATTAAATCCTTTCTGAAATTTTCTCTTATACGTTTAAAGATATATTTTTTCATTAATGTTAATGTAAATTTTTTTAATTTTGCACCAAAAGAATCTTAGAAAACTTACCTAACCTTATTATAACAAGAGAAATTTATTTTAGCCTAACCCAACAAAATATATTTTAGATTTGTTTACAATAATTTAATACTAAACAAACCCAGTGAAATATATTTTTTTCGTTAGGTTCAGAATGATTTTGGCGAAATTATTGCATACACAAATTTTCACTTGTCCTATATGGCAAGATGAGCGTTGTTATTTAAGCCAAGATCGCAAGTTCTGCCTATTCGGCACGACATTTTATATATAATATATATATATATATTATATATATATATATATATATATATATATATATATATATATATATATATATATATATATATATATATATATATATATATATACAGCATCAGGAAAACAAGCAAAACCTGTGTCCTTCATAAAGATAACCACAACTATCTTATGAAATGGACAGAGACCGAGCTTGCCATCAAGAATAAATATAGACGAAAATGTCTGTCAGTATTATTAGTCTAACACCATTACACAAAAGCAAAAACTCCTGGAAAGATAGACTACACAATAGCTTAGCGTCTCTGCTTTAGTGACTTGTTTTGTCCAGTCATCACACTGGATCAATCACCTGCTATTACACCTCACATACTCTTCCCTCCGTTACATAACCCAAGTAACCCATGTACTGTTTACTGACTTGACAAAGCTTGAATATTAAGAGAAACGTTTCCGCGCTGTTATTAAAGTGTCCCATTTAATTCCAGCTATACTGTAAAAAAAAAGTGATTTACATTTC